GGGCAGGGTTTGAATAAAATGGGCAGGGTTTGGATAAAAATGGGCAGGGTTTGAATAAAAATGGGAAGGGTTTGGATCAAAATGGGCAGGGTTTGGATCAAAATGGGCAGGGTTTGAATAAAAATGGGCAGGGTTTGGATAAAAATGGGCAGGGTTTGGAACAAAATGGGCAGGGTTTGGAACAAAATGGGCAGGGTTTGGATCAAAATGGGCAGGGTTTGGATCAAAATGGGCAGGGTTTGGATCAAAATGGGCAGGGTTTGGATCAAAATGGGCAGGGTTTGGATCAAAATGGGCAGGGTTTGGATAAAATGGGCAGGGTTTGAATAAAAATGGGCAGGGTTTGGATAAAATGGGCAGGGTTTGAATAAAAATGGGCAGGGTTTGGATCAAAATGGGCAGGGTTTGGATCAAAATGGGCAGGGTTTGGATCAAAATGGGCAGGGTTTGGATCAAAATGGGCAGGGTTTGGATCAAAATGGGCAGGGTTTGAATAAAAATGGAAGTTGCCATTTGGGCACGCGCCTCTGACCGAGTACAAGCAAACACACACGCAGGAGAGACAGTGTGTTTAATGACAGTGGGATGTTTGATACCGCACGTCGTATAAGAGAAAAAAGCCTCTGCATTTCTCTGTAACTCAGATGCAGTCAGGAGGTCAGAAAGCCGTATGTGTGTGGACTATCCTGTCACAAAATGCGGCGAAAATTCAACACGACGGTCTGCAAAAGTTTGCTTACAGTGTTCACGTGTTCACACTCAGAGAGCAGCATTTACAGCAGATCTTTCAATATTATAGTGACATTAACACTAATATTAAACACTGAATGAGTACAGCTGACCATACCGACTATAACTTTGCCATCTGAACGAACAAAGAAAGGGCGCTGATCGCACACACTTACCGAATCTGTAGACAGGACAATCAGCTCATACTGGAGCTGCGTCTATTTTAAAAGGAGACGAGCAGCATATCCGTATCTCACCATTGATAAGAAATGCTCTCGAGTAAAAAAATGTTCCAAACAAACGCATTTCTGCTGCGCGTCGCGAGCACTGATCCACGCGTGAGTCCAACAGCGCTCTCATAGAGCGAAAATGAAAACAAAACCTTCACATAATGAAAGCAACACTGGCGAACCGTATCTCCAAACATTTCTTATTCTTTTCCCACAACTTTTGGCAACACGACGTGTGTCGTCTCTCTGCCGTCTGAACACTGTTTCAGGTACAGTCTAATGCTGCGTTCACACCAGATGCGGCACGCGCGTCAAGCGCGAGTGATTTACATGTTAAGTCAATGCAAACGCGCGAATAGACATCCTGCGGTGCAAATGGCGTGGGGCGAATTGAGCGTTTTGCGCGTTTGATGCGCTTAACGAGCGTTTCGCAGGAATCTCTCGAATTCGAAAATCTGAACTTCAGCGTACATTCGCGTCGCGTTAACCAATCAGAAGCTTGCTCTTGTGGGGGCGTGATTGTGACGTAGAACCTGATGTCGGTGTTCCGGGGCAAATCCTCCAGCCTTCACCGACAACAGTTCATCAAACTGGGCTTGGCTCAGTCAGAAGCACAGCTGAAAGTCTCCATCATCCAGGTTCAGTTTCTGGAGGAGTTTATGAGCTCACAGAGCTGGATACACCTCTGAAAGAAAGTAGTGGACTCAGACACGACCCTAAACGTATCAACGCTGTTTTTCAGTCTTCATAAAGCACATAAACACTGTTATTTTCCTCATAAAATCCATGTTAGCCATTTAGCTATGAAGCTAGAGTCACAGGGCAGACAGAAGCCCTGCCCATCACGCGAATCCACGTCTGTTCTGAAGTGAATTTGACGCACGAATGAAGCGAGTAAACTCAAATGTTCACGCGGCTATTTACGCGCGATTAGCTCGATTTATCCGCGCGTTCCGCGTCTGGTGTGAACACAGCATAAGAAAGCTAGCATGCATATTAATGAAGTTGCAGCGCATTCATAATGGAGCCCGCTGATTGGTTTGAACCAAGCCATACTCATGAATGAATGCGCAACGCACTCAGAGACGTAATACGGGACGCCTTGGCACAGACGTCCAGTCTGCACGCTGGAATACACGCTATTATGTCATGGCGGTGACGCAGCTTCAAAAATCCGTTTCAAACCGGAAGTACGAATTTGCTCAAAATAACGCAAAAACAACCAATTTACACTTTTTAGTGAGATATAGGTGTCCTAATAGTGTTTTTAGCAGTGTGGGACACGTATACGACTGTCAACAGCTCAACACGTGTTTTGGTGTTTCGTGACCCTTTAAGAAGATAAAGCATGATGTTGAAATGTATGGCTGGTGAGCGTTTGCTCAATAGCTGTTTGCAAATAATAGTGTGCGATTAAACAGCGAAAATGAGTCCATGGCACTCGAAAAATGTGATAAAAATATCAAAAAGCCTTATTATTATTAAAAAACCTACGCATTTCAGCAAAAAACTGCCTTCATCTGGTTCTTGTACTTGATTAAAGGCTTTTTAATATTGTTTCCACATTTTTCAAATGCCTTTGGACTGTTGTTTGCTGTTTATTCTGATGAATCCCTTACCCAAAGAGCGCCGGCACGTTATTTAAGCTACCCCCTGGGCACTGTTTGATTTTGAATAGTGTGTGCTTGTTTGTGTTTCAGTATGCCTTCCTGGTGACTTCAGTGGTGCAGTTTGCGGGTGGCGTGGTGGTGTTTTTTGGCCTTCTCACATCACCAAAAGAAATTGGTGAGTTGATTTTCGTGTGCTGTCCACCCCAGCACAAATTCTCGGCACATGTTTAATAACCTGTGTAGTACCCAAAACTGTATTAACCAGTTAAACCGGGCCCGTGACATCATCGACTTTCGCTTTCAGATTTAAAGGGCTAGCATTGCACCAGACCCCTGTAAGTGGCTTCGTTTGAAAGTGTAGAATCTATATTTTATGCACGTATGCCTCACTTTGGTTTTTATTCTACTGTACAAAAGTTATTTACACTTAAATACACAGTATTTTGAATACCCGAGCTGGATAATGAACATTGGTTTATTTTCATGTGGTTCATATATGACGCATGTACAAGTAATAGCTCAAATGAAAGCTCTTGCCGGTGCTCATACGGTTCTAGCGTTCTTTATACTGAATTATATTCACATATCAAACAGTTCCCAAATGAATCGACGTGTTTCCATGGGGCAGAAGTGAAAACAATACATTTATAATCAATAAGCAGCCCCAGATAGCACAGACAGCTGTCATCTCTTACCTTATGCTGTGCGCTTCAGGGGCATTTCTCCTCTGTGTTTGAGGTGATGTGCATAAGTAATCCTTTTATATGTCTGACGTGCTCCAAACAAAGTGAATTATGTTTGATCAAACAAAAGAATAGTGAAATATGAAAACAATGATCGCTCCCTGTGGCTTGTACAGCACCTCTCATCAGTTGGAACACAATAACTTCTGTATAGATCATGGTGGAGACATTTTATTTTTGCCTATGATTACAGACATGTGCAGGAACCACCGATATTAATAACAGCACGCTAGACCCACACAGAACCTAAAAGGTACACTTTTAAAATTGAGTTTATAATAAAAAAGTACAAAAAGCGCCTCTTTTTAAGGTGTTTATTATAACACAGACGACATATACAGATATTTTAAACACTTTCAACAGTGTTTTATGTAACTTCAAAGGGTTTTCTTTAAAATGATACCAAATTTTTGCATTTACACCTCTGCATGTGGATTTGGGAAGCTTTTAAATTTGGGTCGGCAAAATCCAGGCGGAAATCCCAAAATAGCAGCAGAGTTTAACTGGATACAGGGATGGTTTGGCCAAAAATGACTCCGTTTACTGACCCTCAAGTGTTTTCAAACCTTTGAAGATGTCTTGAAGAACGCTGAAATCCTGCAACTATTGACTTTTGTAGTACGAAAAAACAATTACTATGGAAGTCAGTCATTGGTGACATGTTTTCAGCATTCTTCAGAACATCTTCTTTTGGGTTTGATGGAAGAAAGAAACTCATAAAGGCTTGAAACTAGTACAGAAGGAGTAAATGATGACTGTTTTCATTTTGGGGTGAACCAGTCCCTTTAACAGTCTATCAACCAGTTCCAAATGCTTCCTCTGTTCATGAAAATAGCTTTGAGTTTGTTTGCAGAAGTCGCCAATTACACCAATAATTCTCAGTCTTTAGCTCTAATCTGATTAAACGATGGATAGGGAAATGTGTGTCCAGAGTTGGCACAGTCAAAACAGTCCATGTGACTTCTATAGTCATAAGAAGCTCAAAGAACAATTGTGTGCACCAATAAACCCGTTAAAGCTACTCCGTTCACCTACTGTACATCTTCTCCTTCATCTTAGGTCAGGGAGAGCGTTTACTACAGGGAATACGACGCTTGCATGTTGTGCTTTTGACCCTCAATATGTTGTACATAGTAAATCTGAAAACATCGGCAATTCTCGTATCACGTCTGTGCTGAGTGATCGCCTCACCCCACTGCACAAAGCCTCGCATTTACACTTCTGCATTCTGTTTGTGTCGCTTGTTTGACGTTTTCCATCTGGAGTTTCTTCATTGTTGGCTTCCTGTAGAAGTAGCTCAAACGTAACTCATTCAAGGAAGAAAGAGGCGGGAACTGTAGTCACAAAGTGAACGCAAAACAAAAGTGTTCATGTGGAGCTCCTCCGTGGAGGTGCGCCTTTCAGGTGCACGCAGTTGAAAACAACTCAACGTTTCAGAATGCCACAAGCGCACCGCTTTACACTTCGTACGGATTATACACATTTCGGAAGGCTAATTACTTTAGACAAACCACCCAAACACTGCATTCGTTCATTTTTCTAAACCGCTTTTTGGGGGTCAGATAGCGGGGGCAGCAGTCTTAGGAGAGAACCCCAGACTTCCCTCTCCCCAGACACTTCCTTCAGCTCTTCTGGGGGATCCCGAGGCGTTCCCAGCAATGACTGTAAAAAATATGGACGACGCGACAGCCCCTTTTGCCATTGAACGCCTTGAGGGCAAAACGCCTGCTTGACGGGCACAAACTGTCGCAAAAGACTGCTGAAATTGGAGCCAGACATGCGCAGAAGGACTGTCTGATGGAGCCAGAGGAGGAGCCGCGATAATGAGCGGAGTCGAGCTTCCAACCAAACGCTTTATGTAAAATCAAACACGCCCCCCGAACTTCTCACTCGACTGCCGGTGTCTGCACTATAACAAACGCTCACTGATGTAAATAGAAGCACTTACATTAAAAAACACAATAATATACGGTTTAAAAACGGTGTGATGTAAGCTGTTAAACTTTAATAAAAGCAATACATGGTGGACTGCAGAAATAAACGATCTTTTATACACTCTAGCCTGAATATGAGCACAAATAATATATTCTCTTATTGTTATATTTGTTGTTGGTATTTGTTATCTTCATAGGGGTAGAAATAACACTTGTAAAATATGAACAATAACATATAAACAACACATACATTTTTAGAAAGGTTTTTATTTTTAATTAGCCATCAACAGAACCCAAAATATAGCCTACACACCATAACGATTTACCATGCGGGAACAATCGTGCGTTTAGAAGATAAATACAGCAAGATTACTAAATATCAACAGGATATTTACACATCCCAACCCTGCAATTTGTCAATTTGTGCAAAAAAACTTTGCACTATTAATACAATGTCCATCTGCTGCAACATCACTAGTATATTGTTTATTCATTTTCGCTTGAATTGTTTATTTATTAAATTTTTTTTTGCCTCCGTTTTCATTTGGTTTATTCGATGCCTTCATTATATCTGGCAACGAGGAATTTACATTCTTTTTAATGTTAGCTGGAGTGTTCAAATAAAACGCCAACAGTAAATGATGTAAATAAATAATATCTAACATTTACAGCTCTATTAGGTTATATAAGATTCGATTTCAAGAACCTTATAATGATTTATAACAGCAAATTCAGTAGATCACTTAATAACATGCCAAAACTTAAAATGCAGAGACGTGCAAGTTCAAATAACCTTACAGGAGATCAACGTGGAGATTATTATTTAAACACAAAGAGAATTACTGCTAACGATCTCCTGTATACCCCGTACTAAATGGGTTTATTTTATTGTGCAGTTTTATTGTCATTTTCGTATTTATTATTATTATTATTTAATACTTGTGCAATCGATACAGGTTTATTGTTATTTATTTTGTCCTTTATTTAAATAATTGCTATGCTGTTTGCATCTTTATTCAAAGGTTAAACTCAGTGATACACTTTGCGTTCACATAGCATGCGTTTGTTGTTATATCAACAAAAATGGGTGTAATAACGTTAACAAATGTGAGGGTTTTATATAATGAAGATTTAATCGCGCCAGCTCCGGGCATCAGCGCATAACCTAGTCGCGGCGTCGCGGGCTGATTCCGGCTCGCATGCGGCAGCGCCTCTCGCTCGGCCGCCGCATCTGGCTCAATTGACTCAGGCTGGAATCGGGCAGTGAGTCCAGGCATCCGGAGTAGGTCCAGCAGAGGTAGTCAGTCTGAGGGGTAAGTCTCCGGCAGGCAAGAACTGGCCCCAGTGTATTTTGCTATCTGGGTGGCTAGGCGTGTATTAGCAAACTAATAAAGCCCGAAAAAAGCTCTGACCTTAGCGAATAAACAGTGTTCCACCAGATCATGTATGTCAGAAACTGTAGTTTACTGCTGAACTCATTTTGTCATAGTAAAATATCACAGAAATCGAGTAATAACACTTCAGTCTTCTGCCGAAGCTCAGACGCCGCGCTTTGAGAAACTGTCAATCACCGCTGTCAATGACGATGACACGCCCAGCATTAAATTACTGCTAAAAACAAACTGTTTACAAAAATGAGGATCTGCACCTATTTCAGCACAATAACCAGTGCCTTAATCGACCAGAACCATCTTTCGGGACATTTTATTGCAAGTGTAATTAATTTTTTTATTTGGGCTCAAGTCTCCTTCATTAACACGGAGGAGGCGGGCTTTATGACTTGTACTGCAGCCAGCCCCCAGGGGGCGATCTAACGGCCGAGACCTTCACTCAAACGCAGGCTTGCGGCACACTTGGTTCCCAGGCAAGCCTAAAGGCTTAGGGCCTACTCACACTATGCCATCCGTACCGTGCCCAGGCCCGTTTCCCGGATCGTTTGAGAAGTGTGAGTGCTCTGAATCGGGCTCAAGCACGGTTCACTTGGCCGGCCCTGGCCCGGTTGGAAGAGGTGTGCCTGAGCGCGGTACACTTGGGCTTTGGCGCGGTTAGCTTGTGTGTGAGTGCAAAACACGCCAAAGCTCGAAACTGAAAGCGAGACGTGACTTTTAAGGGGTTGTTTCATATGGATTTATTAATCATTCTTACTGTTCAGTGAACGCAAACTGCCGTAGCTTATTAAAGACGAGAACTCCTCACAGCACGACAGCTGCGCGCCTTCAGCAGACCTCCTCATTCCTGCAGCACGAGAGCTTTATGATTGTTTATGAGCGCCAAAAGTGGCGGATCTGTTGGGCGAAATATCTGACTGCGTGTCCCCGCATCCCTAAGGACTGTTTGGCGAAATATTTGACCATGTCAATGCATATCAAACTGACTGAAACGATATAATAGAGAAATCTCCACTGTGCTGCTGAGTGAGAGCGCTTCTCACTGAACAGCGCAGCAGCGATGACGTAAGCGTGCCCAGGCCCGATTGTGGTGTGAGCACGGGCAGTCGGGGGAGACGGGAGGGTGGACAAGCGTGCTTTGGCCCGGTTTAAGGCAATGGTACCTAGTGTGAGTACGGCCTAAGTCCCTTCGTGTCCTGGGACTTCCCTGAGGTCTCCTCCCGGTGGGACATGCCTGGAACACATCGCTAGGTAGACATCCGAAACAGATCGAGCCACCTCAGCTGACTCTCTTGATGTGGAGGAGCAGCGGCTCTACTCTGAGGTCCTCCTGGGTGTCAGAGCACCTCACCCTATCCATAAGAGTGCGCCCTGCCACCCTGTGAAGGAAACTCATTTAGGCAGCTTGTATCCGAGATCTTGTCCTTTCGCTCATGACCCAAAAGCTCATGACCATAGGTGAGAGTAGGAGCGTAGATTGATCGGTAAATCGAGAGCTTTGCCTGTCGGCTCAGCTCCTTCTTCACCACAACAGACCGGTACATCGACCGCATTACTGCTGCACCAATCCTCCTGTCAATCTCATGTTTCATCCTTCCCTCGCTCGTGAACAAAACCCCAAGATTCTTAAACTCCTCCACCTGGGGTAAGGACTTTCCTCCCTAAACACTGCAGTGCTTTTTAATTTTCTCCATTGATAAAACCTGTATCAGAGCTGCAGCAATGTTTTATTAGCTTGTCATCCTCTGAGAAAACGGTTGATGTTCGGCGAGCAACAACAGACGCCAAAGGAACGTGAGCGCAAAGCCTGTTGTAAATGAAGCAATGTGCTCTGCCCCTACACTTTTAGGCCACGCCCACACTCATCACCACTACCAAGCTGACCAATCGCAGCTCTTCTACTATGCATCGCCTTGGTGTGTAGTCACAATTGTTTGAGAGGTGCACGTTAGGGTTTGCTTCAGGTTACGTGTTAATGTTGTGCGCCCCCACCAAGGTACCGTCGGACCATCCACGCACACTTATATAAGTATACACTGGCCTTTAAAATGTAAAAATGTTCATCTGAATGGAAGGTTACGATGTTTATTTTCTTACATTATTTACGTAATTACATTATTAATGTTACTTACGTAATTACATTATTAATGTTACTTACGTAATTACATTATTAATTCATGCGAATAAACGAATAAAACCGAATAAAACTAATTTGGTAATCTTCAATCAAAATCTGAGCAATCATGATGTCAGGTTGACAGAATTCTTAGCCACGCCCCTCTTACTATTAAGGCTGATTTATACTTCTGCGTCAAATGTACGCGTATGCTACGGCGTTGACGCATAGCCCATCGGCGTCGCTGATGTGCGCCTCTCAAAAAATGTAACTACACGTTGCTCTATGATTGGTCGGCTTGGTAGCGCTGACAAGTCTGGGCGGGACCGAGAGCCGCGCGAATGGCGCGACCCCGATGGAGCGATTGTTTACAAGTGTGGAGTCCCGTGAAGGAGCTCCGGATGGAAAGTTTTGTTTTGTGTTTAGCTCATGGTTAAAGTTGTTGGTTCCTGCCTCAAAATGAGCGAGTTTGAGCCACTTGTACATCCCGGAAGTGTTCAGGAAAAGCAAAACAACAGCGAAGAAACTCGACACAGAGGAACATTTACACCTTACTGCCAACTAGCGTTTGGAAGTGTTAATGCAGACCAACAGAGACAGCGCGCAGAAGTATAAATGCACAGCTACAAGTGTTGCATGCACCGTGGGTTACGCCGGTCACTTGACGCAGAAGTATAAACCAGGCTTTAGTTTGCTATGAGGGAATGATGATGCGCAAAAGGAAAGCCCCGCCCCCATATTCAGTTTTAGTTGGAAGTACATCAACCTACTGAACTAAAAAGCTTAGCAACTTCGGTTTCACCTGTGCTTTAAGTCTTTTAAAAGGTCGTAGTTGCTTTGAAAGTGGGCACTCATAGGTCGTTCTCTTTTGCAGGACTGAACGACTACTTTGAGACAGGTCTGAGACCAGTGACGAGAGACTCAGACAGTCAGCGTCCTCTGATGAGTGATGAAGAAGATGAGCTGACGGATGAATACTCCTCCATACAGCAGCAGGACGAAGAGCCCCAGCCCCAGCCCCAGCCCAGGGCCATCGGCTTCTTCCAGGCTTTCTGCCTGCCAGGAGTTCTTCCAGTCAGTGTCTGTTTGTAGATCATCATTGCTGTTGTTGGCTGGATTTGAGCTTTATTTATTGTCCGTCTCCTGCAGTATTCGCTGGCTTACGCGTGTCTGAAGCTGGTCAACTACTCGTTCTTCTTCTGGCTGCCGTTTTATCTCAGCAAGAACTTCGGCTGGAAGGAGGTTGAAGCCGACCGGCTGTCCGTGTGGTATGACGTTGGAGGAATTATCGGTGAGTGTTCGGTTTGATCCATTTCCAGTCAAGTCTGAACTTTTTTTTTTTTTTTTTTCATGGTTCACTCTGAAAGTAAAACAACAAATTTATCCGGCTTTTAATTGGCTGTTAGCTGTTTCCATTCAAGGATGTGAATTAGATTTACGGGCAAAACTGGAATATTGCGTAAAATGGGTGAAGGAGAACAAAATCCTCACTTCCTGATAGACCGGCGGCAAATATCAAACAGAAAAATGAAGTTTGCTGCAGTAGCAGAAGCCACTCTGGGGATTTTTGTCTTATTTAATTACTTCTTAGAGCATGGAGATAAAATGCAGTTAACTTTTGTAAGCTTGAGGCACTCCGTGGGAGCACAGACACTCGAGACAGTTCTGGGGTCCGTTCTTCGTACGTGGATTACTCAGTTAGCCGGATTTGGACGATTTGGCCCGATCCAGGATCGTTTCGTTCTTCAAAGCTGTTCTGCTAGCTCAAACCTGGTCAGGAGCAGGCTCAATTCATATAAACAGGATTAGATCGGGTCAGTTCAAGCAAAGATAATACAGGAAGTTTGTACCAAATTCTGATATTTTCTTACAGTAGTTATATACACTTGGGAAAATGGTAAATATTTTAACTGTGTGTGTGTGTGTATATATATATATATATATATATATATATATATATATATATATATATATATATATATATATAAATATGTGTGTGTGTGTGTATATATGTGTGTATATGTGTATATATATATATATATATATATATATATATATATATATATATATATATATATATATATATATATACATATATATATATTAGTGCGGTCAATCGATTAAAAAAAATTAATCGCGATTAATCACATTCAAGATACTGAAACGTGTAATTTTGGCTGTTCAAATGTAAAATTAATGTAAAAGCAAAACAAAAACTATTTAAATTCTAAATATAATTGTTTATTCGAATTTTTGTTTAACTTGTAACATATTTCATCATGTAAACAACGTACCCACAATAAACCATCAAGATCCTGCTTGACAGCCATATTTATTAAAGAAATTAAAACACAGGCATGTTAATGACATTTAAATTTCAAAACAATCAATGCCAATAAAGAAAACATTGATTTCCATGTTGGATTCTAAGTGGACTGCAAAAAATGCCAAAATACAGGAATTGCAGATATGGAAAATGGAAATTAATAATAAGTATTAATAATAATAAGTATTGAATACACTGAAACACTTGTACTCATTGTCAAGTTGTATTGCTGTGAGTTGAGAACATTAATTATAAAGTAGAAACTTTTTTACTCAGTCTTTCTTTACATTCATCCAGTTGCTAAGACAGTCCAGTCCAGACATCCTAAGTCTCCCAGAAGTTGCGGGAGTATTCGCAAATGCACAGACTCCTGGATGCCCGCAAATAAATGATAATCTCCCGTAAATCTACCAAATGATTATATACAATTGAAGTTAGAATCATTTTCACAGCATGTCTGATAATATTCTTTTTCTTCTGGAGAAAGTCTAATTTAAAGTCCAAATAGCTACGTCGCTGTAATGATTGGACCTTATGGTAATCGCACTCGCCTGATTCGTGATTTGAGGTGTCCATCAAGCTGCAAGCAGCCTATGGCATGTCGAGGTGATGTATTCGACGGCACGGCGGCAGGCCAGACTGACTGTCAGGCCACCAGGAAATGTCCCGGTGCTCCCGATGGCCAGTCCACTATGGCGAGAGGATAGTGCCACGGATAACCGAACGAAGGAGACAGTCTCGCCATAGTCCGCCCCTACCGCTCTTCTGGGACGTCGCGCGCAACTCACCCCCACCGCTCTTCATGTACGTCTCGCGCGCACACGCCCCTACTCAGATACGTCACTCACTCAACCCCTGAGGCACACACACAAATACAACGCGCCGGAGTGACTCCCTTCAAATTCAACACGCATGATCGACCCTGGATAGCCTGGAGATGCGACATTAATTCTTTTACACTGAAATTTGCCTTTAAAAAGTGCTTCCTTGATCTTATCCATGTTTTTTGCATGTTGAACAGACGTCCACCACAACAGGAAGTAAAAAAAACCTGTAACTGCGTTAATTGCGTACATTTTTTTTTACGCGTTAATTATTTCAAAATTTATCGCATGCGTTAACGCGTTAATTTTGACAGCGCTAATATATATATATATATATGAATGTGTGTGTGTGTGTGTGTCTATATGTATATGTGTGTGTGTGTATATATATACACACACACACACATGTATGTGCGTTTGTGTCTGCGCTACTTGTCTGTGCTGTGTGTTTGTGTGTGCGCGTGTCTGCCTGCGTCTCTACACTATGTATGTGCGTGTGTGTCTGCGCTAGCCTACTTGTCTGTGCTATGTGTGTGTGTCTGCCTGCGTGTCTACGCTATGTATGTGCGTAAGTGTCTGCGCTACGTGTCCGTGCTATGTGTGTGTGTGTCTGCGCTGTGTGTGCGTGAACTCATTGTTGCAACTCCACACAATAAATGCATCAGATACTGATTGGTAAAGTTCTTACTGTAGTTTTTATCACAAACGCTACCTGAGATCTGCTTCCTGAGGCAGCCGAGGGCGTGTTGAGGCATGTTGCTGACAGGGATCGGTGGGCGGGGATGACTCACCTTAAAGGCCCGGTGCAAAAAAACAACAACAACCTTTTCCCAGCTATAATACAGACACTTCAGACAGCTGTAATAAACACTCTGATGGGTGTTTTGAGCTGAAACTTTACAGACACATTCTGGGGACACAAAAGACTTATAATAAATATGAAAAAAGGGGTAACCTATGTGCCCTTTATTTAAAATGCATTCAACAGTATGATGCTGTACTACAGTATAGGCTATATAGGACTAATGATCAGTGGTGTTTATAAGTATATACTTTATGTGCAGGGAGGGTCTTCTCTGATTGGTTCATCCTGTGGATTTAGTGGTTGTTTTGTGATCACAGATTTAGGATTTTGTTCATGTGTTTAATTCTTTTTACAGGAGGAACGGTGCAAGGCTTGATCTCCGATCTTTTGGGAAAACGAGCTCCTGTGTTAGCCATAAGTTTGCTGCTGGCCATGGGATCATTAGTGGGATACAGCCGTGAGTTTAGAGAAGATTAAGGCCCCGTTTACTGTAATGTGTTTTAGTTTTAAAACGCATACGTTTTGCTACGGTTACGACATCCGTCCACATTACGCCAGAGTTTTCGAGCGCTGAAAACGGAGCGTTTTGGAAACGCTGGAGAGGCTGTTTTCATTCTGAAGCGCTGCTGCTCTGTCTCAGTGTGAATGAGGGAAAACGGAGACGTCTGAAAACGGAGGCGGGGCTGCAGAGATTCGCTAGCTGATTGGAGCTTTTGTATGATTGCCTATCCTTCCCTTATTCGTCAAGCCCCTATCACATGACTATAACACATGGCTTTAACGCTACTGGAAGACAGCAGATCAGCCTTCACTGTAAGCAACAACATGGACACAGAAATGGGAGCGTTGTTTGCACTATTGTCTGTTTTAGGCACCATTGTGCAGTTATTCATTTGTTACGTTTAGTAACAACTCGACCTCGTCGTCTGTCCACAAAAACACCTCTCTTGCTTTCTTTGCCATCGCGTTCATTGTTCAACCTGCTTTAGTTGACTTAACAATAACCAAATGCCCGAGCGAGACGCATGCTTCCTGTTTATACTAGAACGCGCACGCATAGAGTGAGCTAATGGTCTCGGATATACGTTATTGGTGGCGTAGTGTGGACGAAGATATGTTCAGAAACGCTAGAGTGGACGCGGATCGTTTTTTGATCTAAAGCGCCGCTTTCAAACTAAAACGCACTAGTGTAAACGGGGCCTAAAGCATTTCCTTTCCTGGAGGCACCGTGGTGTCAGAACGGCATCACATTTACATCAGACGTCAGCAAATACATCACATTACGAATCGGTTTAATGTCAAAACCTTGACGTCCACACATTGATGCACTTCTGAACGTCAAAATAACGACACGAATTCGAAATGACTGTAATCACCTGTAATTCAGTTTCAAATTGACACTGGGTTTTGCATCCCTTCAACTGTAACTAGCTTAATGTCAAATATACATACGTTGACCTAAAAAAACTGTCCTGTAATTAATTTCTGACAACAATGTCAATTTAATGTTGTTTTGACATTAAGGTAGTCAAATAGACTTGTGTTTTTGATGTCGTTTTGACATCAAGGGTGCCCGCTGGGTTAATTTGACAAGTGGAATCTAAATAAAGCAATATTATTTAGTCTAACTTCTTTGTTTCTTTTAACCTCAGACTCGCCTAACAACCAGCTGGTGAACGGAGCCCTTCTAGCAACGACAGGTAACCATATTACAATGTGATGTGGAAAAAAGTTAGCGCCTTATATTCATTCGAGAGTGTGTCCATTCTTTTTGGGTCAGGTTTCCTAATCGGAGGCCCGTCAAACATGATTAGTTCAGCGATCTCTGCAGACCTGGGCCGACAGGAGGCGCTGCACAACAGTCAGCAGGCGTTGGCCACAGTCACGGGAATAGTGGACGGCACAGGCAGCATTGGAGCTGCGGGGGGACAGGTAATGCAACCAGGTTACACGATCTCCTAGATTTAACGACATCCCAATCTCAATATTAAAAGTTTACCATGGATTTGGTCGACACGAGAGCTTCAGCTCTTCTGGGAGGGCTTTCAGAAGGTTCAGCTGTGTTTATGTGAACTTTGACCATGCTTCTAGAAGCACATTGCTGAGTTTGGGCACTGATGATGGATGATAAAGCCTGATTGACAGTGTCTGCTTTTATTCATGCTAAAGGGGTTCAATTGGGTTGAGGTCAGGACTCTGTGCAGGCCAGTCCAGTCTTGCTTTGTGCACTGGAATGTAAACCCATGCCCAAGCTGATCCCACAAAGATGGAGTCATGACTATCCCAAATGACCGCTGAAGCATTCTACACACCTGAGTCCTAAAACGTTTAGCAATAGCATATTTCACATATGTCCACATGCACACGGGCGTTTTTATAAACCGTATCTCTGACACAAGAGCAACCTCTGTCCACATGAAAACACAAGAGCGCACTGATGCGCTTTCAGTGGCAGGCCAAATTAACGTGAAAAATGGCGTATTTGCGTGAGAAAGTTGCGTATAATGTTGGGATGCTCAAAATAATCGATTAACTATTAACCGAAAGGATGCGTTTGTAACCGATTAATAGTTTCAGTTAAACAATTAACAATATTATTTTATATATTTTTTGTTTGGCTGCATAAGCAGCCGATTGAATGCGCTTTTTGGGTTAAGAGGGGCGTCTTTTGAATGGTTTCCTAAATTGTTTTGCACGCGGCTTATCCCAGAGCAGCAGTGTTTGTGTGTTTTTGGTGGAAGGGTTTGTTTATAAGACTGCCATGACATCGTTATATTCATATCAGTATAGTATTTTCTTTAAAATAAAAAGAAACGGAGGGATATTATTTCAATCTGCAACATTTTGAGAATGGCCAGACTGGTTCCAGTTCCAAACCTTTGGGATGTGGTGAAACGGGAGATTGGCGTCATGGATGTGCCGCCGACAAATCTGCAGCAACTGTGTGATGCTATCATGTCAATATGGAGCAAAATCTCTGAGGAATATTTCCAGTAGCTTGTTGAATCTCTGCCATGAAGGATTAAGGCAGTTCTGACGGCAAAAGGGGCTCCAACCCAATACTAGTACGGTGTACCTAATAAAGTGGCCGCCGAGTGTATATAATAACTGTATAGAAAGTATTATTCTGTTTCATGACCTCACTCGGTGTTCATGTTTTGGTGCTAGAAATGTATTCAAATGAGTAAATATTTATTGAAATCAACTCGTCGTTTGCATAATTAAACAAAACAATTCGTAACATAAACATAATCAAAATATATAGTATATAAATATTATATATATATATATATATATATATATATATATATATATATATAT